TGGAGAGCCAGGGTGGGCCTCATCTGAAAAACACACTATGCTCCAAGAGGTGCTTTTTCACCTTAGGTGAAAGCTCCGGGGGTCCTTTGCCCCTGCCTGCGTGGGAGCCTTATGTGGTCCACTCTGTTTACTGTTCTCCCTCCATCTCAAGTTGCTTTTGTAGCCCCGGGAAAGTGTTTTCCTAAGGATGCAGTGTTTTCATAGTCTCCTTGGCCGCTTCCTCACTCCATCATTAACACTTCTGTTGTTTGTAACAGCAATGCATTTTTGGCAAGTAAAACCGAGCAAGGGTTCAGGAGTCAGAAGGGGCATCCAGCTAACTGGGGGACCAGTTCAGCTTTCCCTTCGTGTTCAGTGATCATACCAGGCATGGAGGGTGCTGAGCTCAGGCAAGTGTGGATAGACAGATTTGAAGGAGCTACTTAAAGTCACAGCTTTAAGGCCAAACAAGACAATTTGATGCCCTGCTTTTCTTTTGCATATCACAAATCACTAAGAACCCATTACCTGGAAACTGAGCTCAAGGGGGTCTGGCCACGTTACTCCTCTCAGAAAACCGTTCAACTTGGAGACATCCACAAAGAATTGCCTCTGGGCAGGTTTTTCCAGTGGTAAATCCCTCTGCACTGTTCAAGTTTTTTTTTTTTTTTCCCCAGTTTCACATGTGGATTTGTCCGATTTTGTCTTTCAGGCAAATTCCACTTATGGTTACCTCTAGGTATGAGGCAGTCCTGCTCCCCATTTCGGTACTTACAGACACACTGTAATTGATTCACCTCTCTGTTCTTCCAAACAGATTAAATCAAATCAGTCTCTTCTATTCTCTCTCTGGAAGGCTTTTTATTCAGCTCTCAAACAAAAATGCTCATCTAACTTCTTCCTCAAAAAGCCTCCTGCACAGAAGGCGCTGCAGACTCCCTCAGCCTGCTGCTCCAGTCAGGCTTCATAACCCTGACCTCAGCATCTAACCAAAACCTCCTCTTTGAAAAAATCAGTAGTTCTTATCTTACCCAGCCCCATTATTTTCTTTGCAGCACTTTCCACCAACTGCTCCTTGTTCCTTTAATATTCTCTTTCCTTAAAGAAATAAAATCTCATAGACTATAATTTGCAAACCTCATTGCTCAGGAACGAGTCAGGTCCCTCCTTCTAATGGTTACAGCTAGCCTGAAAGCACAGGATAGTCTTGCCTGTCATACAATCCCGCAGGCTTTAGTGTCAGGCTCCTCCAAGAGCAGAGGGACTCTCCCTCAGGAGCGTCTCCACCACCCCAGAGGTGGGAATTTGCAAGCACTGAGCCCTGCTGCTGCAGCGTGTCCTTACCTGGGACCCCCACAACAGCAGACTGGGCGCAGTGTCCCCCCCGAGCATCACCACGAGGACCTGCTGTGCACTTGGCTGCCCAATGCAGGACAGAGGTCAGCACCCTCCTGAGGGCTGCATGGGGAGGAGGCTGGAGCTGGGGCACATGCTGCAGCTAATCAGGAGCCCACTGGATTCTGCTGAGATCAACTAGCCAAGCAACATCCACCTGTCAATGCAGGCTGGAGGGACTTTTCCTAACAAAGGTTTACCCCTGGAGCTCCCTTTTATACGTTTGCAAATAGTGGCCATGAAGCACAACAGACAAACGAGGGTGACTCAGTGCCTTGTCGAAAAGAAGATTTTGCTGCCTACCGACCTCAATAAAATGGCCATGCTGGGTTGCTGAAGGATGGTCCCTGTAGATTACTCGTTCAGAAGCATGAATTTATTAGCGTTACCTGCAGTACTGCTGCAAGCCCCGCCAGAAGCGCGTCTGTCAGCATGAGTGAGCATCCAGCCAGCAGAAAGCCTAAAAGCTTTTCCGCAGCCTGCTCCACCTGGAACGGCAGCAGCACAGCGCCCGCGGGACGGTCCACGGTGCCGCGCTGGGCTTGGGGTTTGGATATTCCAGCAATAGCCAGAACGCCAGGGAGGCGAGATGAGCATAAAACACATCTAACTGGCCCCACACTAAGCCTGGGCTGCCTTAACTCCAGTCAAACCCAAGCAAGATGAACCAGAGAATGGAGATATGAATCAAGTCTTAAAAATGGAGGGTTATAGATGGGATCTCCGAAAGGACAATGTCATGAACAAAACCATTCAGCTGTGTTTATGTCCCTCTGAATAACACCAGCAACTATGGAATTATGCCGATGTAATGATTGTTATATCAGTTACCCGGTGGAGCTGATATTCAAGCAAAAGAAATGGTCTTCCATGAAAAAACAGCTCTTCCAAACAACTGCCGTGTTGGTTTGTTTTCTGCAGAAAGCAGCAGTTGCTCTCAATTGGAGGAAAAAAACTACATACACACACACACACACACACATATATATATCAACTGGGGAAAATATATATACCAAGTCAAGTAAAAAAGGGGATGGGAAACTATCAGCTTGGTACCTTATGCTCTTCCTAAGGCAGGTTAATTGAATATCAATAATGCAGTTGCTTGCTCACAACCAGTCCGATGGGGTAGAGTTCAATGAGATCAAATCTGCCCTCTACCAGGTTATTAGTTTTATCTTCCTTTTTGGAAGCAGTTCGTGGTGGGGGAAGCATCGTTAGCCCCTTTCTGATGGAGAAGCTGTAGCCCAGCAAGGCAAAGGGATCTCACTGATGTCCCCTGATGCGGTTAGAGCAGATCTGTCAGACTTTCATCTCATACCTCCCTATGCCCGGCACTGAATACAGCATGATCAAACAAAAATAGTTTATTTTGCTACATGTTTCTTTCTATCTAAGGCTCACACAAGCGACATATTGTGCCCAGTACACACAGAAAGATTGCTCTTCTATTTCAGGCCCCTAGCAAAGTGATTGAAAACTCAGACATTTTAGATATATTAATGTCTTTGCTTTGCCATTATCTTCCTGTATCAACAACAATCCTCTTTAACCTTATCTTGTTGTTGGCCCTAAGTAGAGCTGCCTCCAAGAAAGATTATATGATTTTTAAGGCCATCAAAGAGAGAAACTAGATACTTGTCCCCATCACGGCATCTGTTTCATAAATCATTCAGGCATGTAGTTATCTGTGAATATCTTACGTCTGCAGAATGCATGCATTTTTAATCAGCTTTGAATAATGACTGGGTGTGGGGATGGATGCTCGGCTGTCCTCTTCTTCCTGCAGTGGAGGGGGCTTTACAGAAATAAAGTTTTCAAGTATCCTGTTCAAAAGCACCTCTAGCATCATGCTTGCAAGCTACACAGTAAATAGCATTAAAAAAAAACAGAGTAACAAGAAAAGAAATGCCACTGAATTCAGCTTATGGATCCAATAATTTTGTTTTTGTACTGCGTAAAAACTATACCTCTAATAAGAGCAGCCACCCTAGCTATTTTACATTATTCATTTTCCTTTATATATTGAACTGATTGTGAATTTGAAGCAAGTGTTACTTTTGAAATAGAAAATGGTAATTGTTGAAGAATTCAATAAATACCACATGTTTGCACAACAATAATAAAGGCCCTTAACCCCTATGACACCGTGTTAACTAGGGAGGCAGGGCCTGCTGAGATGCAGAACTCACAGCCTAGCTGAACTGGGGTTAAGGAAGAAGGTCTTAATTGGTGTTAAAAATGCAGTGTAGCCTTCAAACACTTGTTCTGAGTAATATTCTGAGAATTTATGACTAAATCCATCCATTAAGCTTAATCAAAAGTTAATGGTTGTTTTAAGACATCAGTGCACTGGGGTCATGGCTTTTATTGCAAAGTATCCTAACATAGTAATTGCACAAGGAGTTTGGAAAGTATTGAGATTCCTGAAATTTCCTGAACAGCTCCAGTTAAATACTTCTTTCTCTCTCTTTTTTTTTTAATTTCTTTTGACTCCATTTTACAAATATTCTTCAGACTGAGACTTACACATAGCATTTAACTGCTCAGATAGCTTCAGTCTCACCTTGCACAGGCACAAGGGCAAGCAGGGGCGATGCAGACAGTGCCGTTGCCTCGTTCTGCGCAGGAATAAGCAAGGATATGCTGTCTCTAGATGATATAAAATTGCATCCTTTTCTGGGGAGGAAAGTCTCGAGTGTGAAGGACTGCCAGGGACTGTTCTGCAGAGGAATAACTGAGAGGCAACAAGTGCCATTTACGCCACTGAAGATCCAGCTACATGGGGGCTGCTGCGTGTCAGTCCAGAGATCAGATCTGCAGATCACTGAAGACATTGAAATACTGCCCAGCTTTCACCCAAGGGCAAGGGCTGGAGTCGCTGGAGAGGAGCACTGCACACAGTCAGGATGAGCCTTGTTTGAGCCTTGTTTGAGCCTTGTTTGCATCCCGCTGCGGCAGCTCCTTCTGGGATCAGGCTGGCCCCTTCTTGGATGTTCAGTCCCCACAAAGAGCTGGCCAACAAGGAGCAAACCCCGAACAGACAGGAGCAGACAGCGTGCCCACCACAGCCTCCCCTTCCCAAGCCCACCACAGCATCCCCTTCCCAACTTCCTGACTCCAGCTCTCTTTCCTTTCGCACCCCATTTCTGGCTTGGGCTCTCTGCCAGCGAGCTGAGCCTCTTGGTGTGCAGTAAATAACATCTAAGTGATCCCTGGTGCACCTGAGGCAACCTTCTCAGGAGAAAAAAACTACAGCTGCTGCTATTCAGTGTGGCTCTGCAAGGGACAGATTTCATATCACCTCCCTGAGCTCCTCACTGCCCCTGGAGGTTGACTATTTGTCAGCCCTGTATCTCATATAATCTCGTTTGTGGTGGGAATTGGCAGTTACAGATGCATTCAGCAAATGCATTCGGTTACACCTTTATTTTGAAACAAACAAACAAACAAAAATCCCCAAAGTAGATCAAGCTGCTTTGCAACGGGTTAGGAGGCATGTTTACCCCTTGCTTTCCGCAGCTCTCTTACGGTGCTTTGTATTTTTCTAACCAGGTGTTTGCTATGCCGAGTTTGGCGTGCGGGTGCCCAAAACCACGGGCTCTGCCTACACTTACAGCTACGTGACGGTGGGGGAGTTCGTGGCCTTCTTCATCGGCTGGAACCTCATCCTCGAGTACCTGATCGGCACGGCGGCGGGGGCCAGCGCGCTGAGCAGCATGTTCGACTCGCTGGCCAACCACACCATCAGCCGCTGGATGATCAGCAGCGTCGGCACCTTGAACGGCCTCGGTGAGCGCCGCCCTAGAAATACTTGTGTGGTGCCGTGCACAGTTACCTACGTTAATTAGGGCCTGAAAAGCAATTGGGAGCTCATCAAAAGCGAGACGTGGATATTATGCTTCATTCATTATTTAACATCCATCTGCCTTTCGCAGTCTGCTTCAGGGACTCAGTTCAGAGGGGCTGGGATATGCGATCCTGATGGTTTGAGCTCCCTTTGGAGCTGGCACTGAGCAGAATAAACTCCCCTGCAAAACTAGTCCCATCTCAGTAGCAGAGGACCATTGCATTGGTCTTCTCATTGGATTGGAGAGGTGGAGACAGGCAGATTTCTTCTTACCAGGAATGGGTTTGAACCTGCAATTTCAGAGCTAAATATCTAGCCAGAATGAAGCTCGAGACAGGCTTGGACAATGAGGTTAGAGCATGCCCTGGAACCGCAGCTGCTGGCCGCTTGGTTAGGGTTTATCTAGTCCTTCAGTCTGTGTCCCTCTCTGGTTCGTATTCTTTGCTTGGAAAAGGAAGATCTTGCTGCAGACTGTTGATGTGACATGTTTCCTCGCGCTGTTTCTCATCAGGGCAGTGCAAGACACCCTACCAGGCCACCTGCAGGCATCTCCCTCCCACGGCTGCACCACGGCCTCTCACACACACTCCTTGGTTCCACGGACACAAGGTCCCGTGTGACCCATCCCACCCCGGCTCGGAGCCTGCATGCAGAGGGAGCACGATAGCAGCCTGGCAATCCAATCTGCTTCTCCAGACCTCAGTTACTGAGGAATCATATGGACTCCATCTGTAATGTCAGGAAAACAACAAAACAACCTCTCTGAGCACTGAACTGCAGCAGTTGAAAGGCAAACCCACAGCATATGCATGGTTCTGTCTAATTGCACCATCTCCCAAAGTGTCCTGAGTGTAGAGCTGCTCTGCGGACAAGGACACTGACAGGGATGATGCCAGAGTAGGGAAATTCTGGCTTTTGCAGACAGGAACAACCCCAAGGCCTAAAGTAATATTCCCTTTCAGACTCTTTTCAGAGAGTACAAGGCAGTGCCTGCAGCACTGGCATGTAAACGCAATGCTCTGATGCTCCTCCACAGCCAGACACTCAGCAATGCCCCATGCTTCCTACCAGTAAATAACAATAGATCACTGTCCCGTAACAGTTTCATGCAACTTTAATATATGGTTGATTTTTTTTCTGTTAGTAGTTGGCAGATATACATTATTGCTAGATGAAACCTGATTATTTGTTTGCTGCCTTCCTAAAGCTACCTAAGGGTGTCTCACACAGCATGATTTATCATCTCCAGAAAACAGCTTTAGCAAGCAGTGGCAGAGATATACCAAGCCCACCACAGGTCCTTTGTAATAACAGCAAATTCTGAAGCACATATTGCTTCAGAAACTGAAAAGCATTTAGAAGAACCCCAGAGATTCTTTAGCTCTTCATCTGTGGATGAAGATTTACATGCCTTTTTTTTTCTTTCCTGCAGGAAAAGGAGAGGAATCATATCCTGACCTCCTTGCTCTAGTTATTGCTGTCATTGTCACCATCATTGTGGCCATGGGTGTGAAGAACTCGGTGGGACTCAACAACGTGCTCAACATCATAAACCTGGTAGTCTGGATCTTCATCATGATTGCTGGGCTCTTCTTTGTCAAGGGTGACAACTGGTCTGAAGGACAATTCCTGCCATTTGGATGGCCAGGGGTAAGTATGGTGTCTTCCCTGAGCCACTGCTCCTGTCACGTGCTCAGCTCCATGCCCCAGGACCCCCAGTCCTCCCCTTAGCACCCCCGCTGTGCCCCTGAACCATCTGAGCCACCAGTACCATGGCATTTTGCTAATGATGTGTGGGCACCACTTACATTTCATTCCTCACCTCTCAGCCCTGCTAAACCCACCTGTCTTTGGTCAGAGCCCTCCAGCATTACAGGTTCAGACCTGCACCGTCCTAGCTCTGCAAAGCCCAAAGGACACAGCAATGCTCTGCCTTTGTCTCCTGCCAGAGCTTAGCTTTCCTCCAGAATGCTCTCCCGGAGAGCCAAAGTGCCCATAAAAAACATATGGGCACCAGGGAATGCCATTAATAGACTGGCTTAACATAGGAAGATGCCTAAGCCCTTCAAGAAAGGAAGCTCAGGAAGAGTTAGCTCAGGCTCTGCAGAAAAGGGGAGATACTTATGTTGGCTGGTTTTCAATAACAATGTTCTCAAGCATTTGTTTTGAGCACTTCATAACGCCACCTGCCAGTGCTTATTTTATGGATGTTCCCTCAAAGCTTACTGAGAATTTGGACATATTTGGCTTTTTTAGCTTGCTTGGACTGGTTTTTATCCAAGGATGAACAGAGACTGTAAATATCTCAGCTGGCCTAAGCCCAAGATAATTTCTCAGATTTACACCGCTCAACTCCATCAGGGTCTTGTGCAGAAAAATAAGCAATAAAGTAAAGTAAACCAAGAATCTTGATTACTGAGAGGGTCCCAAGCTGCTATACCTTCCTCTCATCTCCCTTCAATAAATCAATACCTCCTTGCCGAAAAAAAACACAGTTATTGCAAATGCACTGAGGCCCATCTAAGAGTGGAGGCCGTATTTACTTTTGGATTCTGCCTGGCTTTTTATACCATATGACAAGAATGAAACAGAGAAAACAAAAGAGAACTGTTTTGTCCAGATTCAACCTACCAAATAATCCCAGCAAAAAAAAAATATATATTTTTAAAGATACTTATCCAAAACACACCGAGAGTCTTCCCAGCATTTTCAGATGGTTATTTTCTTGCCAAACTGAGCAAAAAGTAAATCTGACTCTCTGCTTCTAGAATGTAAATCACCTCTGGGCATAGCATAGGCATGAGATCCCCAAACAGTACAGAGAGACCTTAAAGCTTAATAGCTTTAAGATATAGCCCTCTGAAAGAGATGAATATTATTGTATATTCCAGTCCTAAACAGATGAGGTAGAGATGAGACGGACACGTGTCATTCAGCTAGCTAGCTAGCTGTGCATGCTAAGGTGTAGTAACTGCAAATTAACTCACTTCTTACAGCTATATAGTCTTCAGGCTCAGTGTTTGTTTCCTATAAATATCCTTGCAATCTTGTGCATTTAAAGAAAACATAATGAAATATCTAAACAGTACAAATAATTCATCATCCAAGCATACCCAGCATGTGCTCCTAACCTATCTGCAGCTTCCAAACCCAACTGAAGTGATTTGGAAAGCAGCGTGCGTCTAACTGCCTATGCTCTGTTTGGGTTCCTCTATTAGCAGATTTTGCTGCCACATTAGGAATGTTGCTAAGAGGGAATGTGTAAACATGTGACAAGTCCATATTAACTTAATCAGATCTGGGACGGGATGTTGTGAAAACAAACGAATGCCTGAAATTGGTTAATTGTCTTATCTGTCCCTGCCAGGATTTCCTAGCAGACTGGGGCAGAGCCACAGGTTTGTAGTCTGCCATTAGGGAGCTGCAGATGCCTCGAGAGGCTCAAGCTGCATCTGAAATACTCTCTCTAGCTCAAAGCAGTGGGTGGTGGTTGCTGCCAGCACCACACTGTGGATGGGAATGCCCAGGTGTGCATAGACACGCTCTGCTCCGCTTCCACTCCTCCTCAAGCCCAGAGGAGCCAGAATGGGCCTCCTTAACTTGAGCACCTGCTTTAAGAACACGGACTACACCAAATAATAATTCCTTCCAGGATCAGAGCTGGGTAGAGTGGGTCTCTGATGTGGGACACACAAGGTGTCACCTGCTCCCCCTGGCTCCCTCGTGGCTCTGACCCCCTCGGTTCTCTGCACAGGTGCTGAAAGGGGCAGCAACGTGTTTCTACGCCTTCATCGGCTTCGACATCATCGCTACTACAGGAGAGGAAGCCAAGAGCCCCAATACCTCCATCCCCTACGCCATCACAGCCTCACTCGTCACATGCTTGACCGCATACGTGTCCGTAAGTACTAACTACCCATGTATCTATGCATAGATGTATATAGGAGTGTCTGTCCCCGCTGGGGTGTGTGCACTGCTGCTCTCTCTCTGTGCCAGTCAGACCGTGGAACAACAGCTCTTTCTTTGATGGACATCTATGCATAGATGTGTGTAGGATTGTCTGTCTCTGCTGGGCTGTGTGCACTGCTGGTCTCTCTCTGTGCCAGTCAGACTGTGGAACAACAGCTCTTTCTTTGATGGAGACCAAGGAATCAGCTGCATTTGTGTGACTACATCAGTGCCCAATAGAGTCAGATGTCTCTTTGGCCCCTGCTATGGCTATTTCTGTGGACAGAGGACTCAGCTACTTTCATTCTGATGAGATCCCTATGCCAGTTTCAAAAGTGGCAGTAGACTGGTCACCTACGTCCTTCTTTTGCTGGTCTCCTCCATCCTCAACTCTACAGGAGAGCACCTGTCCAAAAGAGAAGGAGTAGAGAAGCAAGGTTGCAGCAACCATCATCTGGGCTGCATTTTGCGTAAAAGAAGCACTTTTACCAAAGCCACTGCTGGAGAGGTGGGACAAGATCCCAGGTAGCACAACGCACTGGCCATGCTGTAATGAGCATGGGCAGACAGGTGGGAGAAGTGTTAGAAGCAGTGTCCAACCTCTCCACATACTTATAAATGCCATCTGTGTTCAGGGTCTTTCACTGTAAGACAACAAAACTTAGGCGGAGAGGGACAAAATATCGTTGTGGTAATTTTACAGAAAACTCCCCAGCTGCCCTCTCCCACAGGACGATGGCTTTCCTCAAAACCAGCTTCTCTGCACCAGAAACGAGACCAGGATATTTCCCCAAGAGATTCTGCCTTGGGCTTTGCTTCCACCCCAGGGAGAATCGGCAGCTGGTAGCATGGTGCCCGTGTGTGGGAACACAGCTGAATTCAGTGTTATTTACCCCACAGAGCCCCACTAGATTGAAATTTTTTTTTTGGCTTTTCACCCTCAAGAAGCAGCTTTGGTGCTCTGAGAGTCCTCAGCAGAGACCACCTGCTGCTCAGTGCTGACACCTCTACTGCCCTGCTGCTCTTTTATCTCCCATAGGTGAGTGTTATCCTCACTCTGATGGTGCCATACGATGCCATTGACACCGAGTCCCCTCTGATGGAAATGTTTGTGGCCCGCGGATTCTACGCAGCCAAGTTCATCGTTGCCATCGGGTCGGTGGCAGGACTGACCGTGAGCCTGCTGGGCTCCCTCTTCCCCATGCCGAGAGTCATTTACGCCATGGCCGGTGATGGGCTGCTCTTCAGGTCAGTCTTGCCTCTGCTGTCACTTATTGTTGCTCTCTGGATGCTTTCTGGCATGAGATCAGGTTATAAGTAATTGAGGCGAAATCCTGTGTGAGTTATTCTGACCTTCTAACAGAAACCTGTCAGTTCTGTTCCTGTGCTTCCCTGTTAATGCTTAGCGCAATCAAACTGCACAAGGTCTGCAGATGGGGAGCGAATGCCTGAAAGGGCTCAGAGCAGCACAGGCAGACGCTGGCTAGCAGAGCCCTGGGTAAGTTCATGACAAGGACAGGAGGTGTGTTGGGAACAGGATTTTCCTCCATCCTGACAACCAGGCACCCTCAGCATGGGAAGCACAAGGTCACGGACGAACTCATTGATTGTAGAGTAGCACATGGACCAAAGCAAACCCCAGGAAAGCCAAGAGAGGTCTGCAGACGCAGTAGCTGGTGGCAAGTTTCTCACGCACACATGCAAAGCGCAGGCAGGAACAGATGGGCCCCAGCTAATGTAAAGCAGCACTGCCATACCCTGTAAGAGCGTGTCCTGGCGTGTTCCCATCGTGATCCTGCTCCAAAGACCTGCCCAAGAGTTACCTACAACACAAAGAGCCAACAGAAGTGCAGGTTATACCCCTCCGTACTTAACATGATGGTCAGAGGCAGCCCTGCCCTGGTGTCTCTGCAGTCTATCCAGCCTCCTTCAGTCTCGTGTCTGGTGTTGGTGTCTCAAGACGTAATTCATCCAAGGATGAATATTCAGTTCAAGAGTTAGTTGTGAAGGTGTGCAGGCTCTGTGCAGGAGATCGTTCTACTGCTTTGCATTTGCAAGTAGCCAAGGGAATATTTCAGTTTGCAGAGTTGGTTAGAGCTAGATCTAACTCCAGGACTATTTCCAGTCTGTGACTGTGCAGAGTTGAAGTTCCAAAAAGCAATGAGAGTTGAAGTGATCATAGATGTGAGCCAGCTCTGTACCTTTGCATCTGGGTGGGTGCTATTATGACAGGAACCTCTGTGATCTGCAATTTTAACTTTCTGTGACTGTTTCACACTCTAGATTTTTGTCCCACGTCAGTTCTTACACGGAAACTCCAGTAGTGGCCTGTATTGTCTCAGGATTTCTAGCAGCGCTGCTCTCCTTGCTGGTCAGCCTGCGGGACCTCATAGAAATGATGTCCATCGGCACGCTCCTCGCCTACACGCTGGTCTCCGTCTGCGTCCTGCTCCTCCGGTACCAGCCGGAGAGCGACATTGATGGCTTTGTTAAATTCCTCTCTGAGGAGCACACCAAGAAGAAGGAGGGCATCCTTGCTGATTGTGAGAAGGAAGCTTGTTCTCCAGGGAGCGAAGGAGAAGAGTTTACGGGCCAACCAACCAACACCTGTGGGGCAAAAAATCTGCCGTCACTGGGGGACAACGAGATGCTAATAGGGAAATCCGATAAATCCGCCTACAGCGTCAATCACCCGAATTACGGCACGGTCGACATGACCTCAGGCATAGAGGCAGATGAGTCGGAGAACATCTACCTCATCAAGCTAAAGAAGTTAATCGGTCCACGCTACTACACGATGCGGATCCACCTTGGCCTGCCGGGGAAAATGGACCGCCCGACTGTAGCCACCGGCCACACGGTCACCACGTGCGTGCTCTTGCTCTTTGTCCTGATGTTCATCTTCTGCTCTTTCATCATTTTCGGTGCTGACTACATCTACGAGCAGAGCTGGTGGGCAGTCCTCCTGGTGGTGTTGATGGTCCTGCTCATTGCTGTACTGGTGTTTGTGATCTTACAGCAGCCAGAAAACCCCAAAAAGCTGCCGTATATGGCACCTTGCCTCCCTTTCGTCCCTGCATTTGCCATGCTGGTGAACATCTATCTCATGCTGAAGCTTTCCACGGTCACGTGGATCCGATTTGCTGTCTGGTGTTTTGTGGGTAAGTCTTAGATTTATTTATTTATTAATCCGCCCTGCTTTTAAAGGCCACTAATAGTAACTTTGCTAATTGGAGCACTTAGGCTGGCATGGTTGCTTTTCTACTCCTTTGCATTTTTGCTTTGTAATCCCAGAATTCTTACAGACCTCAGTTAATTAACTCAGAGCTACAGCCAGCTGGAGAATTACACCTCCAGAAAATGTCAGTTTGATGGAAGTAATGTGTTTAATGGAAAGGTGACTGTTTTGATGAGATTTAGATGCAAAGTAGGTGGGTTTTGGAAATTGCCTTGCTGGCAGGTTTTTGACAGAAGTCTCCCTGCATTCCTTCTATTCCACCCACCTGAGTGAGCTCTTTCAGCAGCGCACACTGCGGTATCAGTGCTGCATTTCCAAAATCTTTGGCTACCTCAACCTCAAGAGTCCTAGGAAGGGGAGAACTGAGGTTTTATCTGCTGGCTCCATCTCCAGGTCTCAGTCTACACCTGGAGTTTCGTGGCAGGGGCCTCTCAGGTCTTACATGATCTCTTGTAAAACCTGAGAACTCAGATCTGAGTAGCTTATTTTGCAGAATTTTGGCCTCTTGGCAGGTAGCTGGGAGCCTGGCAAAACCACAGGTTACCCTGATTTACATTGTAATCCATTTCCTCCCAAAATAAAGAAGAGAAAAAGAGCAGCTGGACTATACAGCATAGAAACAGCAAAAGACCTGGACTCTTCACAGAGAAATAGGATTACCTGTAAATATTGCAGTGGCATACAGGAGTCCCAGTGGTTTGATCTAGAGCATTTCAAAGCAGCCCTGTGTGGCTGAGTGCTCTTTGCAAGAGTTTGACTTTGGTTTTTAGAGCCAGGTGGTGACACTGACAAATCTCAGCTCTCCCTTTTGGCATCTTAGAGGAGAGTCTCACAGTTTCTCTCCTCTGGTGGGGGAAGTTCCTGGGAGACAACAGATCTTTTCCTCCTCCACTTCTGCTTCTGTGGGCTCTTCTGTCCCCAGCAGAAGCACCAGCTCGGGGAGGTCAGTAACCCAAAGTGCAGCTGGTCAGCAGGAGCTGCCCATGCATCCTGTGGTCTGAGCCTACAGCTCAAAGCCTCTCAGCCCTTAAAAAGAGAGAGATGAAGCGGCAGATCCATTGAAAGACCTTCTGCCTGTAGCTTTGAAGCAAAGTGACTTCAAAGCATTGACTTAATCTGCTCTTTTAAATACTTTCCCCTGTGGGGCACAACCACTACCTCTTTGGCTACCAGAAATGGCAATGTCAATAAAATAATTTCACTACCATGTAATGGGCTTCACTTTCCACAGTCATAGCAGAGATGGAGCCGCCAGCCTGATGGAGGAGGTGGATCCTCTATGTTTTCATGCCAAATTGTACTGCTGGCTGAGATTTGCAGTCCTTCTGCATGGAGACTCAGTCTGATCTTCCAAACATTGTTACCCACTGCCAGTCCATGGGCTCAGATTTACATACTGACACATCTGCAGCAGGTTAATTCCAGGATCCATTGCCAATTAGGAATTCAGATTTCCAGATATGTTTGCTTCTGGGAAAAGCATTGGTGTGGGTAAATAGGAAGGTGAGATCTTGAAGGGCTAAAAAAAAAAAAAAGAAAAAAAAGAAAAAAAAATACCTAGAGGAAAGCTTGAAATTTCAGAGTTGTTTTAATACCAAATATACTTAGTCTGATAACCCTGGGGCATGTTTGGCTGAAAATACCAGCAAGAGAGAGACTGAGAACATAAGAAAACTCCAGAGAGAAAATGATATCTGGGAGGATAACAGGATGGAAATGCAGGGTTCTTTTTAGCATTTATGATACAAGTAAAAGTCTGTTGAGAGTTGATTTCCTTCCTACAGCTAAAGAAGAGAGAATCACCTGGTTAAGTAGCAATCACAGCTAATGTTTAAAATATTATCTCCTGGGTCATAGAAAAAAAGCTTGAACACACAATCACAAGTTCAAAGACCATATATCAGTCAAAACACTCGGAACTTTTAGAATATAAATATACTTGCTTATTTTTAATCCTCACCTACTTGAGCCAACCTCATGTTTGATGGGAGGAGGCTGATACATCATCCAAAGCCTTGGTCTTTGGGGGCAGGTGTCCACACTCAGTCATCGTGTGTTGTTAGCTGGGGCTGAGGGGGGACAGCTAAGAGAAGGAGCAGCAGGAGGAAGGCAGGTCCCTGCGGTCATCTCCAGCGCCCTGTTTAAACCAGCGGAGTGTCCGGTGGAGCTGGAGCACACTATTTCCCAGGGCCAGCCCCTTTCTTCCCTGAGATAGTTAATGGCCAGATCTTCTCCCTCTTTCCCACCACTGCAGGCTTGCTCATTTACTTCGGCTATGGCATGTGGAACAGCACCCTGGAGATCAGTGCCCGGGAAGAGGCACTTCATCAGAGCACCTACCAGCGCTACGACGTGGACGTCGACCCCTTCTCTGTGGATGACGGCTTCTCCTACGCCAACGAGAGCGAGAACTACCAGGACTGGGGCCCTGCTGAGGACAAAGGCTTCTCTTACCAGCACATGGCGGGAGCAAAGGAAAGCCATCGGACGAGTAGCAAATCGAAAAGCAAAGGCAAACACAAACAAAATTCAGAGGCCCTGATTGCCAACGACGAGTTAGACTACTCACCCGAGTAATGGAGACAGGCACGGGGCCACCGCGCTGCCCCTCGCAGCCTCCCCCTGGGTGACAGTGGAAAGGCTTCTCCGGCTCCCCTTTTCGATCCCATCTTCCCTAAAGTGTCAGGGCCCACGGCCACGACTCCCTCCTCCCAGTCACCTGTCCTACACTCTGAGGTTGCTCTTTACCCTGAACAAAAACCCGAGGTCCGTTTGGAGCCCACCATTCAGATCCTGCTTTCGTGAATGTTACCAAAGGGGCCAGGGCTCAGCTACGCTGGCAGATCCTCTAGTGACTACTAAACCTGCGGTCTGGCAGCACCGACAAAGCAAATTAAGAGAGAGGTGTGCCAAATTGGAAGGGCAGGTGAAAGGTATCACATCAGCAGCTAGTGAGGGGATAAGATGTGCTTTCCACCGGGTATATTCGCCCTATGACTATATTGCTGGGAAGTCACTGTTACGTATTTGGCACTTTCTTAGAACATGTATTTTTTTTCCTTCAATCACCTAGAAAAAATAGCTTAGGTAGAATGATAGATTGGTAGGCAGGTATCCAACAGAGGCAGTGAAATATCTTTCAAGGGAATCTCAGGAGTAGATTAGAGCTGGATCCAGAGATCTTTGTGCCATCATGGAGCATTTCCATACCCTGTACCAGTACAAAGGCACTGCATGCAAACAACAAGCTTCCGAGGTCTCGGTCCTCAAGACCTTGAATTCAAATGTCCCAAAAAATGGAACTAAAAAAAATAGAATAGTCTGTGTCTTGCTCCTCTTAGACCGCCTCAATCAAAACTTGAAATCCTAGCGCAGCTGAACATTTCAAATCTAAACTTTGGAGTCTGGGCCCATGTCTAGTCATAGTGAGGATTGTGGCCCTCTCTAAGCTTAAGTCACCTTGTATAAATGATCAATAAACATCAAACACCATTTGTCCTAGCACCATAGTTTCAAGGCTGGACTCCATTTCCATCTTTCTCAATCTTGTATCCCTAATTCCCTAGTTCTGGTGGGCACAAATCAGCTGTCATCCTGGCTTCAGCTCTTCAGGGGAAGCATCCATGCTCCTCTGGATGCCGTTCCCTACCTAGTAACAAAATGAGCTTGTGTGAGTCAGTCCCGTTTTGGCATTGCTGAGTTATCCTTGGGGCAATGATAGAACACTAGGCTGCTCAAACCTCCCTCACTGCACCCAGCTCAGCTTTGTAATTCATACAACTTTCTTTGTTTCTGATCATGGCTTGCTGGATGCAGCATGAAAAATCCTGAAGTGCTGCTCATTGCATGAAATTCTGTATTTCAGTCTGAGACCAAATGGAGTTGATGGGTCATAGGGCAGGGACTGTTGAGAGACAGATGTTCTTGATAGCTAAATCTTCTGTACATCAGCCCCATCCTGCTCCCCTCCCTCTGACAGAGCTCAGCATGCACACAAGTTCCCTGTGGCATGACCATAACTTCAGACCCAGTAACAGCACTTAACAGACCCAGTAACAGCTAAATGTTGGCAGGTATCCTGGGGGATACAATAAGCCAGTTCTGGGTGGCTCTCCTCCAACTGGCAGCTTGGACAACAAACTTCAGAATTACAGATGCCCCATCAGCTGCCCTGGATCATGTTAGTGTGTGCCCCCTAACCAACATTGAGCCTTGGAACACATCACCACAGCAATGATGCCCACACCACGGCCCCAGGCCAAGGAGAAGGTTTCCCAAGCCACCTTGAGCAGCTGGGATGACGTTTGCCCAGCCCATGGCACCTCAGCAGCCAGAGCATTGGCATCGAGCAGTTCGCCTTTGCCGGTGGACACCTGGGACATCGGTTGGCCCTTGATGCTGCCTGTCACAACACCACAAAGCTCTAACGTCCTTGCTGAGCTTCAGGATGTGGACAGCCTTCATGGGGACACTGGTGCCTGGGAAGAACCAGCTTGCTGTGTCTCTCCCCAGCAGACACCAGCCACAGTTCCCATTCCACGTCTGCCCCTGAGTAATGGATTGGCAGCTGGCATGCAGTGGGGCTACTTCTGGAGTCCACCATGGACCTGGTTAGGGGTAGGATTAAAATACCGCTGCAGAGGAACGTCTTTTTGAGTAAATAATAATCTGGAGTGAGGAAGCACCATAGCAGGCTGAGACACCCAGCATCTCCCTGGCTCCTGAAGGGCGCAGGGCAGAACTCCCCCCATAGAGCTCATCGGGGTAAATCCCGAATCGCTTCCTAGTGTCACTGGTTTCTGCTGGATTCACACCAGCATGATCAAGGCAAGACTTGGGTCAAGGTCACCCAGGCCCACTGCTGGGCTTCACAAGAGCTAGACAATGTGTGTCCTTGTGCCACTTGGCTGTCTAACTGGGAGACTGTTCATGCAATGTAGTTAAATGGTGATTTAAGCAAGATTTGTGCCCTATGTAAGCAACGGGGACACCCCAGTACTCTGGACAAGCTAAGGCTTAGACCCTGCAAAGGCAAAGGCAAAGGCATTGGGAAGCAATGAGGTTGGATAGGGTTCCGCAGCCCTGCTGGGGTGCAGAAGACGCCCTCCCAGTCCACCCTCTCCTCAGGGTGATGAGGAGCTGGCCATGATCCAGTCATCCCATTCAAGGCAAGAGACATTCAGGCTCCGTGTGGGATTTGGGCCCAGAGACCAGCTCTTCAGGTGCAGTGTCACATGGGGCCTGCCAGGGCACTGCCTTTGTGAAGGGACCTTGTACACTCCGATCTGGTGTCCACTCCTACCAGGCACCCATCTTCTCCAAGCAGAAACCATGTACACCTCCCTCTGAAAAGTCGTGTTTTCCATGTGTGCACCTGTTTGTGAGACCTTTCCGTGCTCTGAGCACCGCTAGCAAGAGTCGCCTCTCACTTGTTCTCATGATAGATGCCTTAGAAATACCCAGGCGTGATGGCACCTCGCAGGACCAGCTTTATGCTTTCAGGGAGACAGATCAACATTATTTTCCTACCAGCTGTTGTTCTATGTCACGTTGGAGGTGGCCATGTTAGTCCTGCTTCTGCAAGGTATTGAGGCACCTGTGTGCCCGCCAGCGTGTGCCCAAGCACCGTGTTGAACCACAGCCTGCTAGTCCCTTCGCAGCCTTAACCTCCTGCTACAGAGCAGTGACCAGCACCCGCTGTCGTGTCAGCTTCGTTGCACCGCTTCGCTTGACGAGGGCTTCCCTGCTCTTTGGCAGCTGCAGGCATCCTTGCACTGGATCAATGCTTTGAGCAAGGTCCTTTGGTTGTTCCTATCCCTCTCCTGGAGCATCGCATGGTCTGTCCATCTCTCCAGCCAGGCCAGAAGGCTGCAGTGGGTTCCACTGGACTGCCCAAAGTGGCCTCCAGGAAGCATACAGAGATGTCCCACTACCAAACTTGGGCCAGGAGCATCTCAGTCTCAGCCAGAGGAAGGTCAGAGCCAGGATGAAACATAGATCTGGCCAACTTCTGTTATGGAAATCCTACACTTCCCCTTGGAGTGAACTGGAGCCTGGGTAGGCTCAGGGGAAAGCAGCAAAGCCCAAAACTCTCGAAGTGTTGGCCACCTCCGGAGCCCTCCATCTCCGGGGTCCGTTCGGATATACAGGGCTGGGGAAGCTGGCAGTGGGTGTGAGCGCTGAGACCCAAACACCCATTGCTCCACCCTGAGGCCCCAAAAAGGAGCGTTCACGCACGTGGTACACTAAGAAAACGTAGGCAGACGAGTATCACGGTATCACGTATTCCTCCCCAACCTCAGCGGCACCACACACACAACCCTGCGGTCCAAACAGCGCCTGGCCACGAAGCCACCTCTCCAAAGGCCCCGTGTGCCGCATGGACGGAGCGAAAATACCTCAAGTCCTTCCGAGCAGCTTCCGCTCTTAGTCCCTCCACAGGTTTATTCCACCTGGTTGCCACCACCCGGCTGCAAGACCCAGCACTCCAGCCCCTCCAGCAGAAGGGACATCGCGCCCCGAGGGAGGACACCGGCTGTCACCAAGTCAGCTTGTAAATGATCTTTACTTCTCTCAATTTGTTTGTTCCTTCTGATGTATATCTTGCTTTTTTCTTCTTCTTTTTTATTTTTTTTGGACATGGTATTTTCTGGTGTAACATTTCTCTGCAGTTCTGGTATGAAATTGGTGTATTTGTTAAAAAGTTCTTTCTTTTTTTTTTGTGGTTTCCAAACCCCCATTGGTGCACTGTACAATGGGATGTTGTAGTGTGTCATGGAGAAAGAAAAAAAAATATGCAGATATGTTATGGAGTGCTTTTTATTTTCAAATGATTGTGTTGTTGACAATTATGCATATAATATATATATTATCAAGATACTAAGAAAAAAAATCTAAATTTACCAAAATGTGTATATTTTAATAAATGCATAAAGCTTATTGTGTGCCTTTACATTAAAAAAAAGGATTTTTAAAGAAAGCCAGAGACAATGTGTCTTAGTATCAATTTCTGTAGTAATGTAAATCTTTTAAATGAAATACTAAACTAAAAAAAAAGCAAGGAAGAAAAAGGAACTTCCCATTTCAATTTTGCTAAGCTGAGCAGTACCTTGAGCTCTGATTTGTTTATTTTCTTTTAAAGCTAAATTGAAGTTAAAGATGAACAAACCTTGCCTTAAGTGCTTCAAAATTTCCTTTGTAGAAGATCCATTTAAACAGGCTGATTTTGGTATTGACTTGCACTGTTGTGAAAACAAACAAACAAAATGGTTATCCGTTTACACAGTAAAAAAAATAAAGAAAAAAAAAAAGAAAGAAAATGAGTGCAGGTTGACTATGACGGTTTGTGGTCCCCGGGGCCCTCGGAGCGGCCTGGGATGCAGCGGGCGCGAGGCTGAGGCCAGAGCAGGGCCCACGGCCGCACATGTGTGCTGGGCCCACCCGCTGCGGCGCCCGCGAATCGATGGCTGCGATGATGGCGCGGTCACAGCGCCAGCGCATCGATGGCTGCGGTGATGGTGCGGTCACAGTGCCAGCGCATCGATGGTCACAGTGATGGCATGGCCACACATCGATGGCCACGGTGACGGTGCGGTCATAGTGACAGCGCATCGATGGCTGTGGTGATGGGGCAGCCACGG